GAACTGAGAGAGGCACCAGGCAACATAATTACCAGGAAAGCCTGCCTTCCTCACCCAACTGACCATATGAGGGTGATCAGACAGTCCCCTAAAGACTCTTATTTAATAGGTAAGGCATGTGCATGAGCACGCACACACACACTCCTACACATATGCACATCTGTACATTATATTGCACCAGATACACACATGCATCCATGTCCTCTTTACTTAACCATTAAGTAAGCTGCCAATGAATATTTTTTAAAAATATTGCCAAATTGAAAAAGACATCTGAAAATGGAAAGATATCCCCTGTTCCTACATAGGCAAAACTAATACAGTCAAAGTGATCATACTTCCAAAATTGACACAGATTTAATGGAATCCCAGTCAAAACACCAAGAACATGATTCACAGAACTGGATAAAAAAAATCCCCAAACTCATAGAATAAAGAGACTCAGAATAGTAAAAGCAATCATGGGTGACAAAATCAAAGCTGGAGATATCAAAATCCCAAACTTGAAGTTATATTACAAAGTTTATAGGGGTGAAAATTACATGATCCTGGCACAAAAGCAAACATGTCATCAATGGAACAGAAACAACCTCAGGCATATTCAACTATTTGATCTGTGACAAAAAGTACAAAACAAAGAATGGAGGAAAAACAGCCTCTTGAATAAATGGTGCTGGGAAAACTGGCTCTCCACAGGCAGGAAACCTAATGTAAATTAAACATCAAATTTCAGTCTTACCCCAGAAAGGCCATCATCAAGAAATTAAATAGTATCAAATGCTTGCAAGGCTTTGGGGTAAAAGGAACCCTTTTATATTGTTTGTTGGAATGTAAACTAGCACAATCTCTATAGAAATCAGTATGGAGATTCCTCAAAAGATTAAAAATAGAAGTTCTATTTGACTTAGCCATTCTTCCTTGAGGTACCTTCTCAAAAAACTTAAAGACACCATATTTCAGGTATATGTCATATTCATGTTTATGGAAGCACAGTCATCATAGCTACATCTTGTTAGTGGCCTCCATGTCCATCAGCAGATGAATGGATCAAGAAAGTGTGGGATTTACACAGAATGGAGTACTACTGTGCTATAAAGATAAACTTGAATCATTTGGAGGAAAATGAATGCATTTTGCAACTCTGATGTTAAGTGAGATAAATGAGACACACAAGCTTAAATAGAGCATGGTTTCACCTATATGAGAAACCCCAAATATAAACAAAGAACAAAATAAAAGACAGAATGAAATCAGGAGCTAGATCTTTCTCAAATGGAAGGGGATCAAGAGATGGAAGGGGACAGGGAGGAAGTAAGGAATGAGAATGTGTCATGTACATTTGCCAACTCATGCAAGGACTGTAAGCATTAGCACCAAAAAATGAAGCAGTGAACCAGGGAAAACCATTCAGGGAGGGCTCAGAATGAAACTTCAGACGTGTGGACCTGCACACTAGCTGTCCCTCCAATCATAAATGGTGATCAAATAACAACTGCCTGAAAACCATACCACAGCCCCTAAATAAGTGAGTACCACTGCAAAGAGCTGAGGTAAAGATAAGGCTTTTAAGAAAAATAATTTAAAGGTTTATTGAAATACATCAAATAAATTCTAAATAAATGAAGATATCACTTATTTCTACACCAGCCTCTAGATTTCATGTAAGTTAAATCCAAACCCCAATATGAAGAAATATCTTTGTTCATGTGTTCCTTTTCATATAAAAAAGGACCAGTATAGCTGAAGTGCAGTTGAAGAATATGATAATCCTCGGGGTTTTCTGTGGAATGGTGAGATCATCTCTCTTATTCCAGGAATCTAGGAAAGTGAACTTATTTTTCAAAAAATATTTGGAGATGTAGTTATGTGAAGGAAAATCCTTATAGATTATTTGGAAAGGCTTGGAGCTCAATGATAAGGCCCTCATCAGAGTAGAATAACAGAGAAGAAGGCTGAGTTAAGCAGGAAATGATGCATCAGAGCCTTGACTTAATGCAGCAGTAAAGAACTGTTAAAGTGGCCACAAGCTAGACTATGCTAGGAAGAATCCTTCCCTAGAGCCTTTGATTTCATATTTCTGATTTTTAGAACAGCAAGGTAATACATTTTTGCTGTTATAGCACCCACTTTGTGGTAACTTCTGTGGCAGCTGGAACAAACCAATGTAATAAGTACCAACGCTTCCTATCAAGCTTTAGTGGCTAAAGTTTGTGGTAGGCATTGACATATGAAAACATAAAAGTTGGCCAAGAACAGAAGGAGAGTCTGGCAACATCTCCATTCACATAAGAAGATGGCATTTAGGATCAGCTGGGAATGACTGACTATCCAATGGCAGTGCTAAAAACAAAACAAAACACATACAAACCCTGCTTTATATATAGAAATTGAAATGAAGTTGAATCTCTAAGTTGGGATTTAGCTCAGCGGCATAAGCGCCTGCCTTGCAAGCAGGCAGTTGTGAGTTTGATACCCAGTACCAATAAAAAAAAAGGAAAAAGACAAAAAAAATCACATGCAAATATCAACTCCATATAAGTGTTATGTATAAAAATCAAAACCAGGAATTTTCTGAAAGATCAGACAGCATTTATTATAGAAACACAAAAGACACTGATACGAAAAGAATGACATCCCCCTTTTTCCCATCTTTTTGAGACAGGGTTTTGCTGTGCAGTTCAGGCTGGCTTTGAGCTCAAAACAATCCTCCTGCCTCAGCCTCCCAAATGCTGGTATTACAGGCATGTGCTATCATACACGGCTAAGAAAGATACTTCTAACTACTTTAAAATTCAACCAAATTTACTATCAAATGAAAAGGTAATGACAAGTAGACATATTAAGTACATGTAATGGATAGAGGATTCATTTCCAGGAAAATGTTTCTAATACAGAGAAAAATGTAAAAGAAATGACCAAAAAAACGTAAGAATTTATAAAAGGCAAACTACAAATGATTACCATTGTTGGGCACATTAATAATCAGTGATGTGCAAATCAAATTTATGAGAGTCTATCAGGCATACTCCTGACACAGTAATGCAGAAAAGTCAAACCAATACATTTTTAGGAGGACTTAGACTATCATGAACTCTCTTGTGATCTTCTAGTAGTGTTACAAGTATTCATAAACACTTTGGAAAACATGTGGTCAAAACCAGCTTGAGTCAGAGCTTGGCCTGTGCGTCATGGAAGCCATGTTAGCTTAACCCCTGGGACGCTCTAGCAGGTGAGCTAGGAAACAGGCAAGTTTGTCCCTTCGCCATAAAAGGTGCAGACAGATGTTTGCCAACCACAAAATGAGTTAAGACAGCAGTGTGTCTCCATTACAGTAGCCTACACAGAGATGAAACTGACTGAACTCTAGTTGTATGTAATACAATGGAAAAATCCTTGAGCCATAATGCAGAGTGAAAAAAGAAGTTGTAGGGGCAAGGAATCATAGGCAGAAAAAGGATAAAATAGAATCTCTTTAAGCTTTATTAAAGAAATTAATAGGAAATCTTACTAAAGGTACTCTTTGCCTCTGCAGTTAGACTCCAGTAATTCAAATAACAAAGGTAAAGAAAGAGAGATCAGACCTGGGGAAGGTGACAGGTGACAGTTCATGGAAGAATTTATCAAGAAGAGTTGACACGCAAAACAGGGATGTCTCCAGGAACATGAAAGTCCAGGCACCCCAGCCTGCCTTACCGGACAGAATTCACAGGAGACAAGGGCAGCTGCCCAGGGACTCTTAGTTTGTAAAAGACATAGGTGTGTGTGTGTGTGTGTGTGTGTGTGCACATAAGCGCATATGTAGGCGTATATGCATATTCACACTTGAGCCTCACTGCACCATACACACACATGTCCCTTGACTTAATTTGTAACACTAAGCTGCCCTTAGTGAGGCTCCCCTCCCGTACTTCCCCACCACAAGAAGGCAGAAAGGAGTCAAATGACCAGAAACAACGCAGGCAAAAATGCCCAGGTTAGAATCAAAGATACCCAGAGGACCAATCAGATGATGCCCACAAGGCGGGTGGGAAACAACACTAGTCCTAAGTAGAAGGAGCCAGGGACAAGGACATGTGGGCATGCACATTTACAGTGCCCCCTGCTCTTCAGAGCAGCTGTCTGCCATCGCTTTTTCCTGCCATTTTCCAAATAAACCACCTTCCTTTATTTCAAACCCTACCTCTTTAATTCATTAGTGGAGTTGAGAGTTTATGATCCTGTAGCTGAGTGTTCCAGCAGGGCAGTGGCATGGCATGGCATGGTGGATGCCCCTCCCGCAGTCATGAGAAAGCCACAGAAGAATATAATATGATCCCACTTACATAAAATTGAAAAGAAGCAAAATTGTGCAACATAATCCATAGGGAAATATATATGAGTGATAAAACTGCAATGAATGATTAAATGAAATTCAAAATATTTTTAACCTCTGAGAAAGAAAGAGGAAAGAATACAGCTTAAATTAGGTGGCAGCGCCTTGGGTACTCATAATTAATCTTATAAATGAACAAAAAAAATTAAATACCAAGGAGCATCACTGTGAAATTTCAAAAACTGAACAGAGAAGTAGGAAAGATTTGAGAGAGAAACTTAGCCACCTAGGAAGAAGCAAGTTCTCATCAGTCACACTGAGCAAAGTAATAAAAATGAATGCCTTAAATTTCTTAGAAAAAAAATGATTCTCAATTTAAAGTTTTTCCATCCAAACTATCAGTTGAGTGAAACACAGAACAAAGGAATTTGCCACATGACATAATATAGGAAATTTACCTTCCATGCACTTGTTGTTAGGTATTTGAGGACATAAATCAACATACACATGAAAAAAATTCGGATTTGTGTAGCAGTGGATCCACACATGGAGCACACTGCTCTAGCCAGGTCTACCTCTGTGAAGTGTGCCTAGAGTCCAGCGGTGGACACTACTGCCTAAAATGTCCATGTTCAAAGTGCTGCAGATAAGTATATTGAGACAGGTTTACGTTTTCTAGTGAGCTTACCATTTTTTCAATTTGATAACTTTTTTCTGTAAATTCTCTTGAGGATTTCAATCCATAATTTTCTCTGTATTTGATGTTTGTGACTTTAAAAGAGGCAAGGTAATAGAATGATTTATCATCTGAAAGGTAAAATAAATGAAAGATCCATAATTAAGTGTAATCAGTTATTTGTTCCCAAGCATGCTGGATAGGGTATTTACTACAGAAACTATTATAGACACTTTAAAAATATTTTGTAATTCCATCATTCCAGTCAACCAAAAAAAATTCAGGTTCCAGAGAATATTTACTAAATATGATACATATATATGTTTTTCTAGATTACACATATGTATATAAATGTTTTCATAGAATTGGACATACAGTATACAAAGGAAGTGAATACTGAAAGCAATTGGTAAGCATCATGCAAAATGATCTATTTTCTAAAAAGCTTATTAACATAGATAGATCACATATACACTGTAATATGATGCTGTAATGAAAATGTTTGAGTTTTTTCTGTACCTCTACTAAGCTTACTTAAATAGATGTCTTTATGCAGTGTTTCAAGTTTGTTTTTTCTATATTCACTTTTTTAGCACTGCTATCTACTCCGAACCTATCACTAAAACAGCTATTGTTAAGGACAACAGTTAGAGCACCTACTGCGTCCCTTTTTTATGGTTTTTTCTTTGTCTTAGTTCGTACTTTGTCCCCAAGAACAATCTCAGTCTCAAGCATGTTCTTAGAAACTCCAGCTTTAGTTTTATGAAGAAATCTAGATTTTTTCCTTCATCTCTGAACATTTATTTAACAATGTAGTTTTGTTTTTACCCTTAATCTTGTTTTCCAAGGCTTACGTTCTTATCCTTCCAATATCCACAGTATTTCCAATCCTTTAGTTCTTCTGCTTCTTGCACTTGCATCTTTATGAACAGTTGTACCATCAACATGCTATACCAAGCTTTAGTTTCATCTTCATTTCTAAGGCCCAGTGAAGTTTTTAGTCTTTAAATCGTATTGGTGCAACCCATTTGATTGTTCCAAATCTTTTCCGTTGTTCACAGAGCCTGTATCTACAATTCAGGCCCTTATTAACTAACTGTTGTTTATCTAAAGCAAAATTATATTTAAAAAAAAAACCTCCCCACTTTTAAAAAATTCATCCTCTTCACAAATACCACTAGTGATCCAGTTCATGTCCTCACTGTTTGCAAAACATAACAGCTTTCTAACAAGCATCTTTTCCTGTGATCTGATTTTCTCCTAATCCATCTACCACAGTGCCCTCTAATGCGAATTTGATAGCATTAACTTTCCAATGGAAGCATTATCATTTTTCACTTAAAATAAGAAGCTAACAATGTATCAGAGATAACTCCTATAGTTTATATTCCTTTTGTTGTTTTGGTTGTTTCTATTTTTTAGAATACTGCTTAATGCTTTTTGGTGGATGAGTAGATAAATGAATCAATATTCACTAACAGACACTAGGCTCTGTCTTTTCAGGATGTACATTCATAGTTTGCATCATTAAATGTATGGACTCAAGTTACTTTTCAATGTACATCTAAATATTTGACAAGATTTCATAATTGAAGTTCTATTTAAAAAAGACTAAAATTAAGATTGTTCAGAGTGACAGAGGCATTTTTTCATTATCACATATACATGCCAGTATTCTTTTTAATCATTCCTAGTTGTGTATAAACAACTGTTAGAATGAAGGAAAAGGAAAAGTGACTTTAATACACACTTAGTTGCTCTCAGAAGGCCTAAAATTGTTATAGATGATATAAGAATTATATTATTCACTTCACAATGTCTAGTGGTCCAAAGATCATTGGCCTTACCCTCCTCCTCACCCCACTCCTTGCTACACAGACCTAGGGGTCAGCAGGATCATTGGTCACCCTCCCCCCACCCAAAAGACACAGCAGCCCATGGACAACTAGTGACCCTTCCACCACCTATAGAACCTTGGTGGGCTGGTGGGAGCATCAGCAGCCCCTCACCCACACAGAGGATCTCAGTGGGCTTGCAACAGTGTAGTGAGTTTTCTCCTCAAATAACGGACGGACGTCAATGGGTAAACAAGAGCAGTAGTGAACTCTCTCCCCTGCTGTGGAACCTTGACAAGTCTGCGAAGAGTGTGGATGAGTCCTTTCTCCATACAGAGAACAGCAGATGGATTGAGGAGAGTGCTAACAAGACCTCCCAAAACCCAGGGGAAATCCAAAGAGCTTATGAGACAGCAGTGACACAGTGAGGTCCCAGCTGAGGTCTACATTATTGCCAGATGAACCTCATAGCCTGGAACAGCCTGAAGCCATAGTCACAATAAAAACTAAGGACTGACTTCCATCAATACCCCTAGGCTAGTCAGTCTAGGAAGAATATAGGACTCACCCAACTGGCCCTGCAGGAGGAATTCAGGTGACTGGCCCCTCTCCCTCATTGTGGGACCCTGAAATTGGACAAACATCAACCACACAGTAGGACCCTAAGACACACATGATGGACAGTTGAGACTAGTGGAAATGAAAAGACCAAAATATTAGCCCAAGAGGTGAAAATGACAAAATGACAAAGCAAAATGCAATCTCAAATGTCCAGTCCATCAGGAACAAGCACAAGAGACACTGAAATAGAGGACATTAGAAGTCATGCACTTAAAATTTCTGAAAAGATAGCAATAAAATAAAGAAATAAATCTGTGAGGCTATAGAGGAAATCAGATTAGAAACAATTTTCCACATAAAGAAGGAAATGACAACCTTAATAAAGGAGTTGCTCAGCATAGCTAAAGAAGATGAAGGAAACCTTGAATAAACAATATAGAAAAGAAGTAGAATGCATGAAACAAATTCAAAGAGATATCCAGGAAATAAAAAATTCTATTGAAAGATGGTGAAAACTTTTGAATGAAGCTGAGGATAGAATTTCAGACTTTGAGGACAGCATCACAGCTAGCTATCATGAAACTAAAGAACTTTTAAAAATAACAAGTCAGCATGAAATGATAATTCAACAGCTTCCAGAGAAACAGAATCAAATAAGATTAATAGGCATCAATGAAGATGCAGGAGTCAGCGCAAATGGCATTGGTAAACTACTCTCAGAAGTAATAGAAAATTTCCCAAACATGGGAAAAGAGTCAGATATACAGATCACTGAGCCATATAGAATGCCAAAGAATCATAATCAAAATAAATCTACACCTGGACATATAATAATTAAGATCCAGTAACTCAACATAAAAAATATAAAAAGCTGTTAGAGAAAAGACACAACTCACCTGTCAAGGAAAGCCTATTAGAATCACGGTAGACTTCTCAGCACACTCAAGTCAAGAAAAGCTTGGAGTGAAGTGTTTCAAGCCCTGAAAGAAAATAACTTTCAACTTGGATTGATGTACCCTGAAAAAATTCCTTTCAAAATTAATGGAGATAGAAGATACATCCATGACAAAGAACAACTGAAGAAATTCATGTCCACTAAACCAACCATAGAAAGAGTACTGAAAGACATACTAAATAGGTGTAAAAATGATCACAATTTGCAGAACAACAACAGAAAAAAACCACGAGGCAGGGCAAGGAATTAAACAAGGGGGAAAGTAGGAAACCAACAACAGGAAAATGCCATGACAGTGTTGAGCCAGCATGTATCGGTTATATCCATCAATGTAAGTGACCTCCAATCACCAATTAAAAGAAACAAAATGAATCAATAAACAGGATCCAACAATACACTGTACATAGGAAACACATCTGACTAAAAAGGAAACTCATAGACTAAAAGTCAAAGGATGAAAAGCAATACTCCAAGCAGCAGGAACCCAGAAAAAAGCAGGAGTAGCTATTCCATTTGCAGATAATGTGAACGTCAAACAAAAAATGATCGAGATAAAGAAGTTACTTGTTAGGAGAATAATTCAAGAGGAAGAGCTAACAATCATAAATATATATGCACCAAATACAGGAGTACCCAACTATATAGGACAAATACTAAGAGACTTGAAAAATCAAGTACACAATAACATAATTGTAACAAAGTGACTTAATACCCTTTGTCACAAAAAGACAGATCAACTAGGCAAAAAGCTGGCAAAGAAATACCAGAACTGAATCAAACCTGTAAACAAATGGGCTTCATAGACGTTTACAGAATATTTCACTCAACCACATCAGAATACCTATTCTTCTCAGTTGCACATGGAACATTCTCTAAAATAGACCATATATTGGCCCATAGAAAATTCTGAAGTAAATGCAAAGGGATTGAAATTATCCCATGCATATTATCTGACCACAGTGCACTGAAATTGGAAATTTATAGCAAAAGAAACTGTAAAACCTACAAAAAACATATGGAAACTAAATAACAATCTCTTGATCAACAAATGGGTTTCAGGTGAAGTTAAAGAAGAAATTAAACAATACCTACAATTCATGAAAATTCAGATACAACATACTGAAACGTGTGGGACGATATGAAAGTGATCCTAAGAGGGAAAAATATAGCAATGAACTGTCACATCAGGAAAACAGAATGAGGCCAAATAAACAACCTAATGCTACCTAATGCAACCTACTGTTCATGTTTCTAGAAAAAGAACATCGAATCAAGCCAAAAGCTCATAGAATAGAAGACATTATAAAGATCAGAGCAGAAATTAATACAATTGGGACTAAGAAAACAATGCAAAGAATTAATAAATCAAAGAGCTGGTTGTTTGAGAGAGCAAACAAAATTGATAAACCTCTATCCAATCTTATCAAGAACAAAGAAAAAACTCAAATTTGCCCAATAAGGAATGAAAAGAATGGAATTACTACAGATCTTATGGAAATTCAGAAATTTATGAACACCTAATTTGAAAATCTTTACTCACATAAGGTGGAAAACACAAAGGAAATGGACAGATTTCTAGAAATGAATGAATTACCAAAGCTGAAACAAGAAGATACAATTGTGAACATCCCAATATCAGCTACTGAAATTGAAATGTGATTAAAACTTACCAACAAAGAAAGGCTCAAGTCCTGATGGATTTACAGCTGAATTCTATAAGAAATTTAGAGAAGATTTAACACCAATACTCCTCAAACTATTCAATAAATTGAAAGGGAAGCAATTTTTCCTGACTTACTCCTGGAGGCAAGTATTACTCTGATATCAAAACCAGAGAAAGACCCAACTAAAAAAAGAGAACTATAGACCAATCTCCCTAATGAACACAGATGCAAAAATCCTCAATAAAATATTGGCAAACAGGATGCAGCAAATCATCAAGAAAATTATACATCATGACTAAGTGGGATTTATCCCAGGAATGCAGGGATGGTTTAGCATACACAAATCAATAAATTTAAAATACCACATCAACAGAGTTAAAGACAAAAATCACAAGTCCTTCTCAATAGCTTTTGATAAAGTCAAACACTTGTTCATGATAAAGGAAAAGCTTTTGATAAAGTCGAGCACTTGTTCATGATAAACTCTCTACAGAAACTTGGAATAGATTGTATCTACCTCAATCTGATAAAAGCCATCTATAACAAACCAACAGTCAACATTATACCAAATGGACAAAACGGGAAAGCTTTACCTCTAAAATTAGGTACAAGACAAAGATGTCCACTATCATCACTGCTATTCAACATAGTTCTCAAAACATTAGCCAGAGCAATTAGACAAAAGAGAGAAATAAGAATAGGAAAGGAAGAAGTTACATTATCATTATTTTAGATGATGTGATACTCTACATAGAAAACTCTATCAAAAGACTACTAGAGTTAACAAGCAAATTCATCAGTGTAGCTAGATACAAAGTTAATAGTCAAAAATCAGTAACATTCCTGTACACAAACAACAAACTCATTGAGAGAGAAATTATGAAAATGACACCTTTCACAATAGCACCAAAACAATGAAAACTTAGGAATCAACCTAACAAGAGATGTTAACAACCTATACATTGAAAACTATAGTACTCTAGAAACAGCGGTTGAAGAGGATGCCAGGAAATGGTAAGATATTCCTTGCTCTTGGTTAGGAAGAACCAACATTGTGAGAGTGACCATACTCCCAAAACTGTTATACAGATTTAACCCAATTCTGCGCAAAGTGCCCTTAACCTTACACATCTAGAGAAAACATTTTTAAAATTCATTTGGAAACAGGTAATTTTTAAATATCCTGAGTGTTTCTTGAGGAAACTGATTAATATGTTCATTCTGAGAAATATATAGTAAGCTCATCACACAGTGTGATTCACCTTATCTTAAAGATAATTTTTTAATTCCTTCCTTCTTAATACATATTTTCTCACATGCATCTGCCAATGAAATGTATATTTCAAGGTTTCTTGAGTGGAAATATGTAACAGAGTTCACTGTAGGAATGACCTATAATTAATTCAACACCAACAAAACATTAGTAATTAAAATGTTACTATTATGCAAATGTCCCATTTTGGTACCACAGAATTTGAAATGCTAATTAATGAAGTACTTAGGCAACAGAAATATGTTGTGGGTACTTACCTTCAACAACAAAATGAGTAACAATACCAATTGCAATTCCTATGATTGCTACAATTGCCAAGGTAAAAAGAGCGAGCCTGATAGGGTCCCAAAATTGCTGTCTTCTTTGATATGCAACTCGTGGATATTCAGCTTCTGAAAATTCAACTGGTCTGTGACAGAAAAATAAAGAAGACAGTAAGATACCAAAAATCAACCTATTCTGACTCTACTTTATATCCATTTGCTGTAAATTTATGAAAACTTTATTATTATAATTAATTGATTTTTTTTAAAGAAAAGGTCTTGCTATAGATAGCATATAGAGAGCTTTACTACAGTCCAGACTTCCTTGAACTCACTATGTAGACCAGGTTGCCTCAATCTCATGGTTATTCTGCTATCTCAATCTTGTGGGTGTTGGGATTACAGGCATGCACAATTATGCCTGGATGAAATACTTTATATTGCTAAACAACACTGGGGTATTTAAATTCAGAAAAGAATTCTATGTTTTAATTTGTACATCCTCCCTAAACATCATAATTACAGTACAAGTTTCAGTTAAAATTCTATCAATATTTATATTGAAGTGACAATATTTTCCCATTGCATTTTTGTCTGCCATGCTGGCAACTTGAAATGTTGGTAGTGAAATAAAGACTTACTCTTAAAAATTTTGTAGAAGTTTCAGTTCTTAGCAACAAGGTTACATAATATTCTCATCAGTTTTACTTGGTTAAACAGAAAAGATTTTAATATGAGTGCTTTATAAAATAACTTTAATGGGTTTTTTTTGAAGTAGTAATATTACCTTTGATGATCAAACCATAGTTCTTCGCAATATATTAGCACCTTCCAGAGAAATCCAGCTGGTGAATGATATTTGATAAAACTGCAGTACTTGTAGTTCCTGTCATCTCCACTCAACTCTTACTGTCGCCACTGGTACATCACCTCCTCTACTCAGGATATCTTACTTTATTTGATCATCTTTCCTCAACTGTGAAGTTGTCACTTTTCACTCTATTTTATGAATTTCTCAGTAAGATTCAGTATATTTTTAGATATTTTATGAGTGTGACGTTTCATAAAATTGCACATGCTTTAGATTTTACTTAATAAATATGTACTGTAAATTTCAATAAATGAAGTGATGGAAAATCATTAAAACAGTGACCCCATATTAAAACAGTGTTTCAGAAACTGTTTTAAGTCCCAAGAAATATGAAGATTTTGAGACACCGAAAAATTTACACTAGATGCCTCAAAGACTTTGTGCAGGGAGGTGCAAGACAGCCAGAACTTTAATTACAGATGTTTATTAAAATCTTCCCACCTAAATGTGCCTTGTCTTCCTTCAATTGCTATAAAAAAGGCCCCGTTTCTCTTTGTTTCGTACAATGGTCTTTTCACCATGCTACCTCAGAACAAATTACTATGTACCTGCTAATCTTTCAAACAGAGAGTATAAAATTTAAAAAATGAACATTTAGGCTTTCATTCAACGGGCTCATAGTAGAGTAAAAAGACAAAATAATAATACACTGTCCTCATAAAGTAATAGATGTACCATGTACATTGGTAAGGGAACATGGAGAACCGAATAATAAGTTATTTGGGAAAGAAACAGAGTTCAGAAAAAGATTTCTCAGAAAATGTAAGAGACAAGCAGGACCTTGAAGGATAAGGATGTTTTCCCGACACATAATGCTGGGAAAATACATCTCATCCTTTTATCCTTAGCCTGCAATTCCCACAACTTATTATCAAGGAAGAACACATTTTAAAACAATAATAAGACCACAGTCTTTATTAAGAAGTCAAAGAGAACTCACCAATAGTATTGTTTCACTACAATTCATAAGCATTATTGGTAAAACTGACAAAAAGAAATCTACAAATATTGAACATAAATTGAGAAAAAAATTAAGACAGATGGTTTTAGTAGTTTGAGTGGTCTGTGGACATACTGGAAAGCAGGCATCAGAAATACTGGTGACCATGTGCAGGGCAAGGAAGGAGCTGAAGGACATCACTGAGAGGTTTCATAAAAAAGCTGTAAGCTCTTATCGTTTGTTTTGGGTCAACCTGGAATTTCTGCCCCTGATGTCCTGCCCTCCTTGTGCTACAGCATAAGAATACAAAGTATTGTTCTTGCATCACCCACAGTACTTCTGGGCAATTCTTCTGATAGAGCACATGCACACAGTTGGTAACCCCAGGACCCAAGCTGCTACAAGCTACTTTTGCTACAGGCCAGCAGTCCTTGTATCTCCCCATCTTTGAGGCTGTGCTGTCATTCTATCACAAAAAGGCTGCAAATCGGAGCCCTGAACAGACTCAGAATGAGGGTCACACTGGCACCCACACCTCACAACAGCTTCTACTCCCAGTCATTCACAGTCCAGCATAGCAGAGAAGTTGCTCCTATAGCAGGGCGACTCTTAGAGCCTGAGGACTAGACTGCTGGGGAGGTCCCACCAGCAGCAGCCTCTGACCAGAACAATGCCATATTACTGTTGCCACAAACATCTGCAATACAGCTCACTGAGGCACTTGCAAACCGCAGCACTGGTGACAGCTGCAGAAACCCCACGGGGGCTGCACTCATCCCAAACAGAAGCAGAGACACCTATCCAGCTGACAACCTTAACCCAGGTATGTCTTTCATCATGCAAAGTATTCCACTGAATTGAAAGAAATAATGGACAAGATGCATAAATCAGGACTCATGAGACATGACAATAAGAGAAACACAGCACTTCCAAAAACACATAGTCACATTGCAGCAATAGACTGCAAAGAAAAAGAAATCCATGTAATGCTTGAACAGAAATTCAGAACGATGACCTTGCAGGAACCCAGTTGCTCCTACCCATGAGCCAGTGGAATCCGGAGAGGGAGTGATGGGAGATTAAGAAAAATTTAGACACACACTGAAAGGAAAGCTGGGACTGGGTGGGACCTTCCTGGTCTGATGGAGAGGCAGTGATAGCCCAGTACAGTATGCATGTCTATTTATACCCCATAAAGGGTGGAAGTGTGGGACGGAGTCAAAAGAACAAGGTCTCGGGTTTTGCTGAGAACACTGCAAGTGAAACGTTCTCAGAGCTACCTGTGCTGCAGCTAAAGGGAGGAACACCTCAGCCAGATTCCTCCTGGAACGGCCTTGCTCTGGGGCCAAGGAGTGTGTCAGCCTCTAGCTCAGCCTTGGCTCAATCTCTCCCCGTTCTCCCCTTTTCTATTTCTTATCAAAAGCAGTAAGTGGTCAATGACAGCTGGAAAAGCTGTGTTCAGGAAACTCTGCACAAGACCTTCTTCCTTGTGGAAGGTTTTTGTTTCCCTCTGTTCCCCAGGCATCCCCAGTGAAGTTTTTTCCCATGAAGGCCTTTTTTTTTCTCAAATCCTTTCCAGTCCAGCAGACATCTGGCCTTGGTGCTCCTCTGCTGGACTGGCTTTGCTCTACTCCCAAGGAGTTCAGATCTCTAGCTTATCGCAAACTTAGCTCAGTTGCTCCCCATACCCAGTGAGATATGGAGTTTATGGCTAGACAATCCAACAAATCAAAACACAACTCAGGTTTTTAATGAAAAATTCAACGAACAGATATCAAAACAACCAATTAGACAGAAATCATGGAGTTGAAAAATTCAGTGCATGCAATAAGTATGCAACTGTTGTGCTTAAAAACAAAGTAGATAAAATATTGTATAAGACAGAATTTTCTGGCTGGGGATTTAGCTCAGTGGCCTAAGTGCCTGCCTGGCAAGCACAAGGTCATGAGTTCAAACCCTCATACCAAAAAAGAAAAAAAAAGACAAAATTTTCTGTACTTAAACATAGATTTTTTTTGTTTACCCAGATTTTATTTGTTTACCTAGTAAACAAATAAAAGTGTGGAGGGGGAAGTAACTAACATTATTTCAGCTTTTAAAATTACATTACCATTGAAGTTATGATACGGAGACATTTTCATCTGGAGGTAAAATATACTTTGGATTTGATAAGAATTTCAAAGAAGAAACACAAATCAGACAACTACAGCAATGTTCCTGACTTTGTTCCAAAGTTATGCGAGGGCATGTTCTGTAAATATCATGATCATAAGTAACAGAGGAAGTATTAAAATGTGGTACAGTTGTGAAAAGCTGAGGGGGGGGATTTTATGCACATGTACGTCGTCAATATTAGCTTTCTACCAGCTAGACATGAGTAGTTTGGCAGACAATAAAAAAGGATGAAATTTCAGAGCATGGGCGAAAATTGTACCACATCTTCTTTTTTTACTAGAATGTGTAATATTTCTGAATGTGTGTGAATGTGGTGGGGAACATTAACCCTTATTGAATTTGATTTCCATGGTTGGCTATAATATTTATTTATTTATGATGTTTATCACTTATGACAGTTTTTTTGGTGTGGTACCAGGGATTGAACTCATGACCTTGTGCTTGTCAGGCAGGCACTTATGCCACTGAGCTAAATCCCCAGGCCCCCCTTATGACATTTCAAGAAATTAGTTTTAATAGTTTTGTGAACTTTCCAAAAATTTTTAATTTTTATCTTTATCTAGGTTTCTAGGCATGTGTAAGATCCATATCTTTTAAAGTTGATCTGAGAAATCACGATTACCATTTTATAAGCACTCACAAGCAAGCTTCTCCCGTCTTATCATATGAGAAATGTGCACTCCAGTTCTGACAGCAGCTATGTGAGCAGCTCTGTTTAGTAATTTAGTTTCTTCAAACAGATATGCATGGTTTCCATGTAAAACTTAAATTCCCTTCAAAAATCTATTAGGCTTTTTGAATTTTGCATATCCTACATTACTACACAAATTGTATGAGAATAAATTGTCTGAGAATGATCATGCTTTTCACCCGAAGAAGACTTGAAGTTGTCAGTCATATTCTTAGCCAACCCCAAAGAAGGAATTTACACACGTTCTGTAAACATGTTCTAATAAAAATAAAAAAGAGCTGAACAACTCGTTAAACTAATAAAATGATATGTATTCATTCAGGACACACTTGCTGAATATCCACTATATTCCAGATACTGTGTTAGGGGTTAGAGATGTGAATGAAGACCATTCCCTTATTTCTTCAAGTGGTAAAGACAGTGCACAGCAAATGAATTTATACATAAATGCAAAGTGTCGGGTAAGAGG